CTGAGAGGTCCAGAACCGGCTTTCCTCCTAGATTTGGCATCTCGGCATTAACAACTCTTCTGTTGGGGCAGCAGTGCCCCCAGCCTCTTGCGGGCAGGGGGTTGGAGCTGGTGCCACGGGGAGGTGGGTGAGTCAAAGGGCTCAGGATCTTGACACCCTACGTGGTCTCCCCTCCTGGACTCTAAGCTCCACAGGTCATGGGCTGTGCCAGGTCAGTGTCAGGTCTTATTCATAATAGACATTTAGTAAAGGTATGGGGTGGAGGGACGTACCTGTCAGTACACCCCCAGGTAGGATGGATGCTCTGCATAATTTAGGATTATTCCACCGTTTGCATCACTGTTTTTTCTATTCTCAGTGCCGAGCACACAGTAAGGCTTGATAAATGCTTGTTAACCGATTGAGAGATGGATGGATGGATGAATGAATGAATCAATGTAGCTGAGGATCTCAAAGGAAAAGAGATCATTGGCAGATTTGGGACCCTGAAAAAGACTTGCCTCTCAGTGTGGTTCAGTGGAAAGAGAAGACCTGGGTTCAAATCCTACCTCTGACACTTATATCCTTTGTGACCTTAGGCGAGTCATTTCACTGCCAGTGTCTTGGTTTCTCCATCTCTATTTTGGGGGGTGGGGTGAGGCAGTCGGGGTTAAGTGACTTGCCCAAGGTCACACAGCTAGTACGTGTCAAGTGTTTGGTCTGAGGCCGGATTTGAAGTTAGGTCCTCCTGACTCCAGGGCCAGTGCTCTATCCACTGCACCACCTAGCTGCCCCTCCCCATTGCTAAAGAAGAAGGAGCTGCACTAAATGACCTCTGAGATTCCTCCCAGCTCAAGACCAATGACCCTATAATTTTAAGAGAAAAATGGCAGAAGGGAGGACATATGGGAAGAAAAAACAACCAAAAAATGGAGAAATAGAAAAGTGGAGGCTGCTTATTGGTTATATCAGTGTGGAGATTCTTTTTTGGGTATGGATTGGGCCAGATCAAGGGTCCTTCCCTTGGGATCTCTGGACTTTTTTATATATATTTAGATAAAGGCTTCCTTTATAATCCTGTCTATTTTATTTTATGCTCTTAAAAACTTTATTCTGAGAAGGTGTGAACAGAGGCTTCACCAGACATCGGGGTCCAACAAGGTTAAGAATCCCTGGGCTAAATGGCTGCTTAGGTCTCTCCCACAGATCTCAATGATTCTCTGAACTATTTGTACAAGGCCAGAAAGACCCACTAAGTCTAATAAGGCAGAGGCACGTGGGGGGTGGAGCTCGGAAGGGCACAGAATCATCCAGTGTTAGTACTGGGCAGGGATATTGTAAAACCTATTCATTTTACCAGAAAGGAAACTGAGGCCTAGAAATGGCAGGTAGCCCACAATGTGTTCTGACTCCAAATTCAAGGACCTTTCCATTCCACTCTTCCCAGGTCTCCCTCAGTGATGGCCCTCAATGAAGATCTTCCTCCATAGCCCCCATTATATGCTTTCTTTTCTCATTACCTCCTCCTCCTTCTTTCTCTGTCTGTCTCTATCTCTGTCTCTGTCTCTCCTCCCCCTTCCCTCTCTCTTCTCTCCCCCCCTTTCCCCTCTCTCTCTCCTCTCCCTCCCTCTCTCTCTCTCTTTTCATTCTCTCTTCTCTTCTCCCTTTCTCTTTCTCTTTCCCTCTCTCTCCCTCCTCCCCCTTTTTCTCTGCCTTCTCTTTCTTTTTTTTTTTAAGTGAGGCAATTGGGGTTAAGTGACTTGCCCAAGGTCACACAGCTGGTACGTGTCAAGTGTTTGGTCTGAGGCCGGATTTGAAGTCAGGTTCTCCTGACTCCAGGGCCAGCGCTCTATCCACTGCGCCACCTAGCTGCCCCAGTGCGCCACCTAGCTTCCCCTCTGCCTTCTCTTTCTCTCTTCTCTTCCCCCTCTCTCTTTCTCTTTCTCCCTTTCTTTCTATCTTCTCCCTCTCTTTCTCTCTTTCCCTCTCTCTGGCTCTCTCCTCTGTTTCTCTCTCTCGTCTCTCTCCTCCCCCCTCCCTCCCCCCTCCATCTTCCTCTCCATC